TGGCAAAGAGCGTCGTGAACAATAATTTTTCTATACTCAGCCAGCACTTGCCGCCGTGGCTTGTCCAAGCTTTGGCGAAACAAAAATTCTGTACTGCGCCAGCACTAATTGTCGAGGCTCGGCTAGACTACGCCGAACAATCGTCTGAGTACTAAGCCAGTGGTGAACATCGGCACTACACTGGCATTTCCCATTGGGTATTTATTATTTACAATTATATATTATTTTATTTACTTACTGTTTCTATTCATTTACTAATTTCAATTATTTAATATTTTATTGTTTCGATTCATTCATTAATTTCAATTATTTATTATTTTTATTCATTTATTAATTTCAATTATTTATAATTTTATTGTTTCTATTTATTTGATAATTTTAATTATTATTTATTTACTGAAAATTGAAAAGAACTCATATTTTTTCCCTAGAAGTCAATGACTAGAAACAATAAATACCAGAAAAAAATTGTTAACGTTGCTTTTACTATTTGCAAAGTGAAACCTGAACGATCTGAAATTTCTGCGTTTTCGCAATTCTTACTATTTATGCGGAGAGTAAATTAATTTTGCTATACGTTCAAAGTAAATTTTACGAACTTTTACTAAAATTTACTTATTTTGAAATAAAACAGTAAAATTAACTTTTGCTTTCTCGTAAATTTTACTACTTTTGGAGAGTAAATTTTGCAAATTTCTTTCAATTCCTGCTATTTTGTGTGCATTTCTCCCAGTTTTGCCTGAAAAAAAGTAATTTTTATTTCTATTTACAAAAATAAAAATTTAACTTTGATTGGAATTTTTTCATCCTTCTTGCTTTGAAAATTTTACTATTTTCAGAGAGTAAATTTTTCTACTTTCCAATTAAATTTTTACACGCACCCAGAATAAAAATACATATTTAACTCGCAGAGAAAACTTAACTCTTTATTTATTTCAAAGAAATTTTATTAACTTCAAATAAATTTTATTTGTTGCAATTTCAAAGAAATTTTATGTGCTTCAAATAAATTTGTATTTGCCTGCACGAGCAATTCCATGTGAAGTGATCGACGATTTTTGGACATTGTTAGCAATTTTCTTGAAACTTTTTTTCCTTGTAGCTATAAGGATAAGATATGATAAAGTGAAGGCGATTTTGAAAATTTCGAAAAAATTTTGAAAATATTCAAATTTGAAAATTTATGTACTAATTTTTTAAAATTAAGATAACTCCGGTTTTTTCAATATTTTTTCAAAAATTTTTTTTTCAATTTCTCAGTATAACTAGTACTTTTTAAATAAATTTTTTAGAAACAAAAATTTTTAGAAATTATTAAAAAATTTTCAAAAAAAAATTTTTTTTTTAATTTTTTGAAAAACACCCCCCCTCCGATTTTTTTTATTTTTTTTATAATGATAGCCAAAAGTAATAAGAAAATTTTCGTAAAAGTTTTATAATGGGATCGCGATAACTTTTCGAGAAATCAACGAAAAAGTCTATGGCGCCCCGTTGAGACTGACGCGCTCACGTACGTATGTCCAAGAAGTTGGCAACGCCATTTCATTTTTTCTCAACAAAATTTTGATAAAACTAAAAAACGAAAATTGTGCTACACTTGAAAACGATAACAAATATTGTGCTGAAAAAAAATTAAAATATTTTTTAAAAATTAAAAAAAATTTCTTATTATACTTCAATTTTTTTGAACATTTTTCCAAAAATCAAAATTTTGAAAAAATAAATTTTGTGCTGAATTGTTCTCAGCGAGGACAATAAAAAAAGTGTATAACAGTTTTTGAAAAAGTTAATAATTATTCAAGAAAATCATATTTTTTGAGTCTAAAATTTTTTGAATATTTTTCAAAAATCATAATTTTGAAAAAATAAATTTTGTGCTGAATTGTGCTCGGCGAGCACAATAAAAAAGTCTAAAAAACAATTTTACAACAGTTTTACAACAGCTCTATCTCATTCATTGCAATGAATAGAATTGTTTTAATTAAATTACTATTTTAGCTATATGTGATTTTAATATTATGTACCTGCATACTTCTAAAAAAATAGTAGCCCACAATTCCCTGAATGCTTCATTTTACAAAAAGCTTTGTATTATTTTTTTATTTAAATTTCATGCAAATTTTTTGTGGAGTCGAAGTAAAAGAAAAAGAAACAATATATATTAAAATTTTTTTTAACTAGGCAATTCTTCTAAATTCTTGTAAAAACTTGAACGCCCAAAATAAATATTTTATTGCAATTTTCAGTTGGTTGTTGTTTATGACTTATAGGTAATTGGGAAATACTGTAAAGTTATGAAATGCTAATGAAAAATTTACTTTTGACAAACAAAAGAAAATAAAAAAATTGGATGATCAAAAATTTTTAAAAATTGTTAAATAATGGAGGTGACCCACAATTCCCCAATTTCCTCTATGATTATTCTCAAATAATTCTTTAACTTTTTGAAACATTGTTTTGAGACTGTATTATTGTGCTCACGAGCACAATTCGGGACAAATTTTATTTTTCCAAACTTTTGATTTTTCAAAAAGGTTCAAAAAGTGTGATTTTTTTTAATAATTATTAACTTGTACAATTGTTCTTAGACTTTTTTATTGTCCTCGCTGAGAACAATTCAGCACAAATTTTATTTTTTCAAAATTTTGATTTTTGAAAAATGTTCAAAAAAATTGAAGTAGAATAAGAAATTTTTTTTAATTTTTAAAAAATATTTTAATTTTTTTCCAGCACAATATTTGTTATCGTTTTCTAAGTGTAGCACAATTTTCGTTTTTTAGTTTTATCAAAATTTTGTTGAGAAAAAATGAAATGGCGTTGCCAACTTCTTGGACATACGTACGTGAGCGCGTCAGTGTCAACAGGGCGCCATAGACTTTTTCGTTGATTTCTCGAAAAATTATCGCGATCCCATTATAAAACTTTTACGAAAATTTTCTTATTACTTTTGGCTATCACATTAAAAAAAAATAAAAAAATCGGAGGGGGGGTGTTTTTCAAAAAATTAAAAAAAAAATTTTTTTTTGAAAAATTTTTAATAATTTCTAAAAAATTTTTTTTCTAAAAAATTTATTTAAAAAGTACTAGTTATACTGAGAAATTGAAAAAAAAATTTTTGAAAAAATATTGAAAAAACCGGAGTTATCTTAATTTTAAAAAATTAGTACATAAATTTTCAAATTTGAATATTTTCAAAATTTTTTCGAAATTTTCAAAATCGCCTTCACTTTATCATATCTTATCCTTATAGCTACAAGAAAAAAAAGTTTCAAGAAAATTACTAACAATGTCCAAAAATCGTCGATCATTTCACATGGAATTGCTCGCACATAAATTTTATTTTTCTCAAATAAATTTTATTTCCATCAAATAACAATAATTTTATTTGTGCCAAATAAAATTGTAAACAAATAATTTAGTCGGCTCTGAGACACCTACTACTGTATTATTTGACTCAAGTAAATTATAATATTTGCTTCAAATAAAACTTTTCTTTCTATGCAGCAACATTTATTAAAAAAATTTACTTATTCGGAATTAGCCGAAGTAAAAATCCCTCTTCCTCCCAGTTTTTTTTTCTATATATGACCAGAAAAAAATACTGTTCCAAAAATTTTTTTTTCTAACATTAAATCAAAATTGTAGAGAAACTTTTTTTCTTTTTAATAGTTTAATACCAAAACCTCGTTTTCTCTCCATATAGGCGTATATAGAAAAATCAAAAAACCCTCTGCACATGAAAAATCCATCAATTTCTGACCGTTTTCTTTCCTCCTCCCCCCAGCTTTTCTCTAACATTCATTCAACAAAGTATCCCCCGAAGCAAAAATCACTAATCTCTCTCCCCTCTTTTTTTCCGTACATCATCCGAACTTTAAAAAAAATCCAAAGGGAGCGTACAAACAACAAAAAAAAAGTCAAAAGAGAAACTCTTTCGTAATTCAGAAATAGAAAAAAAGAAAAAAAGAAAACGAGAGAGAGAGAGAGAGAGAAAGGGAGAATTCGAGCGTCAACGTAACCCTGGTGTCAGCTCCAGGTGCACATCTCCTCATCATGAAGATTTCGCGAGCATCAGCAATCATATAGTGACGATGAGGAGAGCGCGTGCGTGCTCTTTTGCGCCCATCTCTCCTCTGTAAGGCACGCTCCCCCTTTCTCTCTCTTTTGGGTTCAGTACTGAAAAGGGGGTTAGTACAGAGAGAATCAGGGGGCAAGAGGAAAACGGGTGGGGGCAACGGAGGGCAATATCAGGTGGAAAGCACGAAACCTCTACTCTCTCTCCCTCGTGCTTTCTCACTCGCACTCACTCTCTCTTTGCCCCCACTCCTGGGGCGTGAGTGAAAAAGAGCGAGAGGAACGAAGAGAGAGAGGGGGTGGCAGTAGCGGCTGGCTATTGATTTCAAGGGCTTCCTTAGCCCCCCCGCCTTGCTGCGGTGTGCCTGTCGGCTTCAGGTCGCCCCCAATCGTTCCCAGCACCCTTAAGCTAGAAACTAAGATTTTCCCTCCCTCCCCCCTTCCAACTCACTAATAATTAGTCCCTTCTGCCCTCCATCATCCCCCCAAAAAAAATTCATTTTTTCCCCGCAAAAAAACAATTATTTGCAACAAAAAAAAGTTCCTTTCGTCAAAATAAAATTTGCTGTTAAAAAAAGGTCAAAAATAGTGAAAATACTGAAAAATAGTGAAAAAAATAAAGAATAGAAAAAAGGGGAGAAAATCGTAAAAATCGCGAGTATAGTCGCGATTTTCTCCATAGAAGAGAGAGAGAGAGAGAGAGACTCGAAACGGGAGAGTGATTTCGCGACCCGAATGGAAGGGTGCGAGGTCACCAGAATCTGGAAGGATCCCCCTGATACGGCACTGCGCGACTCAGCCCGAGCGGGGGTGAGCCGTCGCCGCTTGCGATACGTCGAACTGGCTACCCCTGTTGGGGCGTCTCCTACCCCACATACACGAGTTTAAGTCTCGACCCGGAGAGAGAGGGACAAAACGATCGAGAGAGAGGGAGAGAGAAAAACCGCGAGGGTGAAAGCGCAAGGGAGAGAACGAGAGAGAGAGCGAAAAACCCCGAGAACAAGAGAGACAGACTAAAACCGTGAGAGAGGGAGAGAGAAAGAGAGACACCACCGCCTTTAGCTTCGATTTGACCATCGCAAAGAGACTGTGCGTGTGCAACAATCCGGTGCCTCTGTTCATCGGGCCGTCGTCATCGTCGCCGCCGTCGTCGTGGTCATCAGTGTCGCGCGACTCACTAAAATCGGCGACGATGTCCAATGTCAATATCGCGTGTGCCTCGCGATTTATTATGTGATCATCGTTTTACTAAAAAAAATAATATATACACCCACTCTCTATACACTCCAAAATACAACGCCCAGTGTCCTACCCGCAGGGGGAACAGCCTCAAGAATAATGTCCCCAAGTCATGGATTCAACATCTCTTCATCAGAAGATCGTATTCACTATCATCGTAAATACCACACTAGTCAATGTTTACTTTTTACACTGACTAATAATGGGAATTTCAATCAATTTTGACAACACTGCCAAGAAGGAGAAAAGTTTTAATATATAAAATAACCGAGCTGCCTAGAAAAAAAATCACACACACAGTCTCTCTCTCTATATACATATATATATATAGAGATACATTACCGGTGAGTGCATCTGTACTGAACAAATATCTAACCCCCGGGGATTTACACCTAGCGAAAAATTTTTCTTGCTTAGTAACCAGATCAATTTCTCCCTTCCTGATTTTTCCGCCTTTTTTCATTTTTGAGAGAATGAGAAAAAATTCTTTTTTCAGAATTAAATTCTTGTGTTGTAGAAGAATCCGTTTTGCAGGGATATGGCCCTAAAAAAAGTATGTCAGTCGGGGATGGAATTTGCACCTTGCGTTTATTCAATATGGTTTTTTTGGCATTGTTTCTACGATAGAGGGCAAAATATTTGTGAAAAGTATGTGGAAATAATTAATGTTGATGAATTATGCAAAAAAGAAAGTGATGGTAATGGAAAAATTGCATTCTAGTATGAAAATAAGTAGAGTTGTAGGGAAAATGATTAATTTTCTGGTGAAAATACTTGCTAGTAGTACAAGTAATATGGTGGTAGTAGTATGGTGATACTAAAAATACTCCACTTACTAAAATTATTGCTATAAATAGAACACGTACTAAAAATAGCTTCCTTGCTAAAAAAAGTACACGTACTAAAAATAGTATTGTTGCCATAAATAGTACTCTTGCTAAGAGTAATTTTGCTATAATTCGTATTATTTGATATAAATAGTATACGTACTAAGAATAACTATGCAGTGATTCTAAAAATAGTTTTTTTTTAAATAGCCTACTTGCTAAAAATAGTATTATTGCCATAAATAGTACACGTACTAAAAATAGTAAAATTTGTCTACTTATTAAAATAGTATTATTCACACAAATAGTACATTTGATAAAAATAGTATAATTACTATAATTAATACACTTGCTAAAAATAGTACACGTACTAAAAACAAACTTATTACTAAAAATAGTTTATACTAAAAAATAGTATAGTTGTAATCAGTCAAATATCCCTAGTGTGTTACTAAATATAATCTTAACAATAACAACAATAATAATAATAGTAGGGGAGACTGGGGCGAAAAGTTAAACTACCAAAACCGTTAAAATTCATTATCTTTCGAACGAAAATAGTTAGAGCATTGCAATTTTAATTATAGAAGGGTGTTATCACCCTAAATAAATGTCCGGAGTTGTGTGCAATTCTGTTTATTTTTGTGGTGTCAATATTAAAAGTTTTTTTTCAACCTACTTTTGAAAATTTTTTCGAAAAAGAAAATATCAGCTTTTAAGTATATTTTTTGCATTTTTTCTCACCGCGATTTTTTTACTTCATTATTTGGGTCCCCTGAAGAGATACCTACATGTATTTTCTAAATATCTTTAGTCAGATTTTTTATATTTGTTGTTAAAGCCAAAAACGCACCCTGGGGCGAAAAGTTAAATAATGGGTGGGGCGAAAAGTTAAATGTATTTTTACATGTTGTTAAAAATTTTTTTTTTATTTTTCGTTTTTTTGGGTTTATTTGTTTAAACATTATTTATTTGACATTTGGCAAGTACTCTGTCAAAAAATAAGCCGGTTCACGTGAAATAAACCAAAAAATTTTTTTTTTTTTTGAAATTTCAATTTTTTAACTTTACAACTATTCTAAAGCTTTTGTCAAATAAACAAAGATCTTTTATTTACTAAATTACTTGTTTACGTATACTTTAACTTATCTACTATTTATCACCTATCAGAAAATAGTGTTAGTAGGCTAAAAATAGAATTTAACTTTTCGCCCCAGCATGGGGCGAAAAGTTAAAAAAAACAAAATTTTCAAAAAAGGACAAAACATGTATTTTTTGCGAAAATATCAGGAACTTTTTTATTGAAAGTTGTACAGGACAAGTTGCCCTACAATATTGATATACAAATATTTGCATCTAAGCGGCTTATATTGCCCAAAAAAAATCATTTATGCAAAATTTAACTTTTCGCCCCAGTCTCCCCTAAATTCAATATTTGGAAGCCATAAATTATATAAATAAAAGATGTTTAAAATCATTTATTTAAATAATAATAATAGTACAGTGAGTTCTCGCGAGTCGTTCAATTCTCGAAAATTTTCAAGATCATAACACTCACGAGTCGTTCAACGCATAAGCCACGCCTCCAAGGCGATTTCAGGGATGTGTGAAACATATTTATCGCCCCGAAAGACACAATATTCAATGGCTTTGGTCCGTTTAAATTACACAGGACTGAGCACCGGCGCGCGCATGCTAGAAATTGAACGACTCGTGAATCGGACACTGATCAGCTGTTGAACGACTGGCGAGTTTGAACGACTCGTGAGTTGAACGACTCGCGAGAACTCACTGTAATTAAAATCATAAAATTAATAAATAATTATACTTTGGTGAAGTTCACAAATATTAATAATCAACGATTTAAAAGAAAAAATAATTTTCTATTTTAATTTTTATATATTTTTGTATAAAAAGTTATTTGCATAGTTTTTTTATGAATAATTTAAAACAACCATTTTTAAACAAAACTTTTAATATTTTGGTAAAGAAAAATACTTTTTCTTTGTTTCAATTGTTAATCATAAACGTTATGAACTTAACTGACTTGTAATTATTTAATTTATTAAATTTAAAAATAATAAATAACTAAAAAAAACAAAATAAAAAAAAAACCGGACAAGTGCGACTTGAGCTCGTACTAAAACCGAGGTTTCCGTACCCGTACTGAATTTTTCTTGAAGTCTAAATATAAAAATATATATACGAATATAAATCTGCAGTTCACTAGGTCAAGAATTGTAACCTCCAGGGATAAGTACACACTTTTTTGACTAAATTTTCAAAAATATCAATTTTTTCGTTGAGAACCATATAAAGATCAACTCCAAATATTTTTGCTATATTATTCCTAAAATCTACACTTGAAAATACATAAATAATGCAAAACTGCAGTCCACTAAGCCAAGAATTATGAGCGCCAGGGGGGTAAAATCTTTTTTTTTTACTAAATCGTACAAAATTTCTAGTTTTTCGCTAAAAAAATTTAAAGATCAACTCCAATCCTTTTCTCTGTATTTTTTCTGTAATCTACACGTGAAAATAAATTAAAATGCTAAACGCCAGTCCACTAAATTAAGAATTGAGAGAACCAGCAAGGGTTAAAGTATTTTCGAGCTTGCAAAAAGAGATTTTAGTTTTTCGATGAAAACACCATGAAGATCAATTCTAATCATTTCCGCTATATTTTTCCTGTAATCTACTCGTAAAAATACATAAGTATGACAATTTCCAACTTTCTAGGTAAAAAACTTTGGGCGCCAGGAGAGGGGTACATGCCATTTTTTGCGAAAAACGGCCAAAATTTGATGTTTTTCGCGGAAAACTCTATGAACATCAATTCCAATCACGTTCGCTATATTTCTCCTGTAATCTACGGGTGAAAATACATACGTGTACTAATTTTTAGCTCTCTAGATGAAAAATGAAAAACTGAATAATAAAAATAGTTATTAATTTACAAAAAGAAACGGGAAAATAATAATAACAATAATAAATAGTTATAATAATTAAAACTGTTATTGTTACTAAAATAATTAAAGTTGTACTAAAAGAAGTAATAATGGTACTCAAAAAATAACTACAGGTTAAAAAATAGTAAAAGGTAAAAGTTAAAATTTGAAAATGATAAAATAAAAAAAAATTAATTCATAAGAAAAATAATTTTAAAAAATTAAAAATAATAAATAATTAAAAAAATTGATGATTAAAGAAATTTGTAAGCAAATTGAATGGACTTATTGAATTTAATGAATGGAAATGCAGTGCTAACAGAGACTTATGTGGTACAGGAAAGAATTTTTATTAAAAAATTTAAATGAAAGATAATAATTTAAGATGAGAGAGTTTCTTTAAAAACAATTGAAAACAAATATCCCTTTCCTCCAAGCAAATATTTTTGTTCATTGTTGAAGGAAAAATTTTCTTAAAATCTAAGAAAATATGATCGAAAAATTAAAAAACGAATATTTTTGGAAAACCAAAAGAAAACAAGTCTTTGTAAGAGCGATTCATGGTCTTTTTCTTTTATAAACAAATTATGTCTAGAGGGGAAAAATTATTTTCTGAAGAAAGTATGTAATATTTTTTAAAACTGAAAATTTGAATTACTAAACAAAAAGAAAGTTAAAAAAATATTTTTCTTTTAATTGTGGAAATATATTGTTTAATGGAATTTCTATGTGTTCTCCAGTTAACTAAGTAACTAAAACTACAGAAATATTTTTTTATAAATAGGTAAATAGTTAAATAAAAACCTAAAGAAATGTAAAAATATAAAAAAAAATAAAATTAAATAAAATAAAAATTTTAAAAAATAAGAATCAAACTAAATAAAAGTTAAACATTTAATTTAATTAGATATACCCCAGTGGGAAATTTGCAACCGGCGCGGATCCTCGCCTGTACCGACGCCGGAGTAGTGGTACTGGCTGGGAACCGCCTGCCTACCGCCCGAGAACTGGTATTCTACCAAAAGATGACTTGGCCAGGAGCTGGCTGGCCATCCGTCTCGGAACTGGCATTCTACCGCCCGGTAACCGGCCGCGGGCCGCGAAGAGCCGTTCCGTGTATAATTCAACCGGCTGGGACCCGGCACTGTACCGACTGCGGATCTTTCATTTCCTAGCCAGATGTGCGCTGGCAATGCTGGCATTCTACCGCCTGACAACCGGCTCGGATCAAAATGATAATTTCAACAAATATCAATAAAAAAATAATAATTAATTGCAAAAGATAAATACGGATGACAATTCATTGACAGTTCACTTTACACATTTTTTTATACACTTAACGGTATTTTTTTATATTCACATTTGAAAAATCCTAACGCTTGGGGGTACGAACCTACGCCTAACCGAATATTTACGCACCGAAATCACGCACACTAACCACTATGCTACGCTCGCATGGAACTCTCAAATCTTAAATGCTTTCAAGTCTCACTAGCTAAAATGAAAATTGTAAAATTACTACGCGGCAATAAATAATAAAATATTTTAATATTTCGTTTAAAAAGG